TTGATGTTAACCAGTGCTCCAGTTGGCTAACACAGTAAATACTGACCAGTGATTCAATGAACACATAGGGTGATATGTAGATATGTAACTACATAAACATAAACACAACTGTGAGATTAAAATATATAAACCTATGTATGCTATATAATAAAAAACCCTAACTAATTATATTCATTTCTATCTAAAAATGAAAATCACCCTAACAGTGTTTACACTTAAATTCATTGCTTTGCTTTAATTTAAGCTTTTCATGGATCCACTAAGAACTCTGGACAGGGAGAGAGTCACATTTTTCTCGTCTGATCCACTTCTATCGCTGTGGTTCTTGGTCCGCCAGCCCTACTGGTCTGCTGCTATTTAAAAAAGGATGTTTATGCAAATGTAGCTCGCTGTATCACAATCCATTAGTGTTTCCCAGTCAGCTGGATAGAAGACTGCTAGAAACACACCAGACTTTACTTTTCCACTCGCTTCCTTCTGCTGCTGTAGTTCAGCAGTTAAAAGCCAGGCTTCCACAGCAGCTACATGAGGAGCTGCTGGAGGCTGAAGGAGTGTCTGTCCCTCACAGCTGAACAGCCTCCCAATTCCCTCACATCTTTCCCAGCTCACTTCTCATCCTGTTCCTTATTATTCACCCACTTTTTCTCTCTGCTGCAGTGACTTCAGTGTCTCTGTTCATATCTCTTCCTGCGACGCTGTCTTCTGATTACTTCCCCTGCCCTTCTGTCCTAATCCAGTTGTCCAGATCTCTCACACCTCCTGATATGCCTTACGCCCTCCCAAGTTAATCCTTTCTGACTGTACCAGTGTCACTTCTCTATTTCCCCACTGCTTCTCAGTTTCAGCTTTTATCTCCTCTCCTGCTTCAGTCCATTTTACCAAGAGGAGAAACTGTCTCCTAATATTTTTATCTCCTTTTGGATTTGTTTTAATAAACCGGGGATGGCCCCTGTGGTTTTACAAATGAATGTTTGCTTGAAGGACTAACCCTCTGTAACTATAACCCCCTTCTTCTATCCTCCAGAGGACCATCTTCCTCCCTCTGTGGTCGCGAACAAAGGCCTGGTGCTGGATGAAAACTCCATGAAGAAGCTGACTACGCTGCAGCTGTCGGCCAGTGACCAGGACAGTGAGCCAAGCGAGCTCATCTACCGCATCACCAAACAGACGAGCCTGGGTCACCTGGAGCACGCTGCCAATCCAGGTAGGCAGCTACACCAGATCTGTGTTTGGCACATAATTGTGCCAGGTCTAAATCCCACCTCCTGGTGGACGTGACGGTCTATGGTTTTTGGTAGTTATTATCCCACTGGTGTGAGTACAGGTGGCCATTTTTCTGGTAATGTTGTTTTAAGAAGTTACTTGATTATATAAAAAGGGGTGTATTTTGGTTGGTCCAACAGCTTTGATTGGTGGCCTGATGCTGTCACTCCACTTCTGGTTGCAACCGCACAGAATCTGGTTGTAGAAAAGCAAGATGGCAGCTTCTGTATTCACGATATTCTGGCTTCGTTTCTGCATAGCGGAGGGAAGGGAACATTTCAAGAAACATCAATTTCAGTTTTAGATGTGAGAAACGGCCGATCTTCACCTTATAAATTAGATAATTTCATGGAATACAAAGATAAATGTTAAAGCAGCCTTGGGTCTTTTAAAAAAGAAAAGCACAGTGTAGTGAATATGTGTGTGTGTATGTGTGAGGAATAAACAGATCCATATACAGAGAAATGCATCGTGTCTTTGTTAATTAACTCTGCACACATGCACACACACGCGCACAAAGAGTGAAGTGTAATGAGCCTTGCTGCTCTCTCATTAATTCCAGCTGCCTCCCACAAAAAGACACACTCTCCCACTTTCTTTCTGCTTCTTTGTGCACACACACACACACAGATAGTGAGTGACTACAGCCTTAAACTTTTGTCTGTGCTCAGTAAACTCTTGGAATACAACAACCACATAACCGTACACTACCATGACTTTGCCAGAATCTCTTCCCACTGTTTATATTTCTACTAGAAAAATAAAAAAAATACCTTCATGTTTTCCTTAAAGTGTTCTTATTCAGGAAAATAATTATTGCTGTGAAATTACATTTATAGGAGACACTAGACATTGATGCATCCTTTGACCTCAAGACGTGGTTATTAGCTTCTGTGCTGCTGAGCATCTCTGCCCCGGCTGAAAGGATCCCTGCGCTGATTAGCTGGACGTTAGCACCGATCGTCGAGCATCAGTATATCTAGAGCCACAGCGAGGCCCAGGATAATTACCGCTAGCCATTCAGTCAGTCTGTCATTCAGTGCTAACACACACAGCCAGCTCCCTGTTCTTTTGGGATACATTGTCATCCTACAAGCAGTGTCAAGGTAACAGCACAGAGATGATTGTTCTGTGTCGATGCTCTCTTTCAAAGCCTTCAAAAGGCTTATTAACTGGCCAGAGTTATGACACTACTCTCATGTGCATTGTTTGTCAAAAGACACCTGCCATACAAACCAGTGGCCTCAGTCTCTTTGTGCTCTTTGTACAGACACATCTGGGGAAGCACAGCAGTACAACAGAGTGCAGAGCACTGATGTTAACACATTGTTGCAGCTTTTGTTGAAGTCTTGGCATTGATGCATATCAATATGTATAAGCATGCGTACTTCACAGATGTGTGCATGTGCATGACAGGCTTGTGTCTACGTCATGTTTCTTTTCCTGTGTGACGTGCAGATTGCAAATGTAAATTTCATATCAAATAAAACTATCACCGCAATGTGAATGGAGGAAAAATAACACTGCATTTGGGGTTTTATAATGTCACTGCACAAACTGGGTGACGTAAACACACCTCTTTCCCCATCTTCCTTATGGTATCTACTTAGCTAGAAATTGTACGTGCATAGTAGTTTACAACTAGCAATATTAGCAACAGCTACAAACAGTGAGATTAGTGCATTACATTAGACTAACCTAAACCTGCTGACCTGCCCCTTCCCCAGTGGGTTCGGTACTTTTTAACCTTAACCAAAACACACTGTCTGAGCTTTTCATCTTTTGGCTTCATGTGTGACAATAAGGCAGATTTTTGCTCAAATCACAGAATGAATCAAAGTTCGGCCTGTGTTTAAATTTCTGAAAAATAAAAACTTCCTGTCACAACAAATGGAAGGAACATACCATTGCCCTTAAGATGAAGGGGCAAAAAGAACAGGATTTCCATCACCGACTGAGAATATGGCTTCTGTTTCACCGCCTGCCTGTCCCTGTCCTGATGATGTATACACACCAGGGCGTAGATGGCACAGGCTGGGAGGACTGTAGACGTCTGCTGGCTTTGCCGCTGACGTCAGAAGATGGATGTTGAAAAGTTGCTGTTTCCATTTCCTCCAGGCTTTGCTGACATGTTGAATCAGTCATTACCCTCCATGTGTAATTTTTGACCTGCTTCAGTGGGAGTTGTTTTTATTCTCTATTTTGGAAAATTCCTCCCATCTGCACAGGGAAATAACTTTTCATCCATCTCGCCTGCGTAGGGAAATAACTTTGATGCCAGCACTGGGCTGTAATATTCAACAAATTATTACCTTCACATCAAAGTCACCGGCAACATGAAAGGTCCATTTGCAGAATACATTATTGAATATCCCAGCATGCAGTGACAGGCCTGTAAGCAACAGCAAGTGGCTAATTAACACCAGTTTTCTAATGATAGGATTCACCTGCTGCCTACACCTGATATTAATATGTAACAGTTTGGTTTGTTAATCTGTCTGCTGTAACAGTGAAATCTGAGCTTCTGTCCATTTCATTCATGGCAGTGTCACACACCTTATATATCAAACGTAGCTGTAAATAAATTCAGGTATGATGCAAAAAACCTGCCTTGTCTCCTTTCTGAAAATCTTCTGAAGGTCTCGTTAGAGTTGCCTTTAGAGCAGTGAGTACAATTAATAGTAATGTTTATAGCAATCAAACCTGATTATGTTTCCTACTGAATTTTAATCTGTGAAGGTGTCAAAGAGTGAAAAGCAGCTGGAGTCTTGTTGGATGGATTCAACTTTAATTACAGTTTAGTTTATTTTCTCATTATTATGATAAAAGCCTAAAAGGAAGAGAAAAAAAACAGAATCTGCTCAGAGGTGAACTGCAAAGGAGGGCTTGTAAAACCATTTGATTACAAAATAGAAACGATAAAAAACAAATTCTAATGTAATCAGACACAAGAATTGGGCAGAAAACTCTTGACATCTAAATTCAACACAGGAAAGAATCCAAAAATAAAAAGCAATATAAAGTGAAAGTCTCAGCTGTGTTATAAGAGAAATATTGAAAGAATGAATGTTTTTTCTGTTTCTGTGTGTATCAGAGTGTTGTTTATTTCTTTTTAACTCATATTCTCTCTCAGGCACCAGAATCGGCACATTTACCCAGGCTGATCTGGTGTCGCGCAGCATCCAGTACGTCCACACCAGTGAAGAAGAGAAACACGCCGACCAGTTCTCCTTCACCGTGTCCGATGGGACAAATGAGGTGAGGAAACACTGTAAGGATTAAAAACCTTTTTTTTAGTCTGGTCCCAATATGTGGGCATTCAAACTGTGTTCTGAAGAACATTTTCATGACACCTGGTGATTGGCAGTGACAGGTTCAGGGGACTGTGATGTAACCAGGGGTTCCCAGTGAAGCCAGGTTTGTTTGTGACATCCAATCACAGAATATGTCCAAGTTTAAAAACACTGTAAAGGTAGAAATATGAGTTATGAGCAGTTAAACCAAGTAGTGACTTTCACCTTTCAGATGTTTCTTTAAAAGGGAATTTAGAGGCTTGATGAAGTAAAAGTATTTAGTATACATAAGAAAAAATAAAAACCGTAAAGTTGTGAAACAAATCCCCCCAAAAGAAAAACCCTAATAAGTCATTCTGTAACCTTTTACATTTATCTTAAGGTCGCTGTGGGTGCCCTGTTGCCCTGGGGCTGCTGTTGTAGCCAGTCCACATCCAATACAGTTTTATACCAACATAATTATAGCTTCCACATCAGTCCACCAAATTTTTAGTGCCACAGCAAAACCTGACTTGGTGAATGGTGCTCCGCTGCTCCTTCTCATCAAAAGGAGTCAGCTGAGGTGGTCTGAGCATCCTATCGGGACGCCTCCATGGCGCCTCCCTTTGGAGGGCTTCCGGGCACGTCCATCTGGTAGGAGACCCCAAGACAGGCCCAGAACACGCTGGAGAGATTATATGTCTCATCTAGCCCAGGAACACCTCAGGATCCCGCCAGAGGAGCTGGAACATGTCACCGGGGAGGACGTCTGGACTACCTTACTGAACCTGCTGCCACCGCAGCCAAATCCCATATAAGCAGATGATAATGGATGGATGGATGGTGCACTAAATAAAATTAACTTCAGAGTTTTGTGTAGTGAAGTTTAGTGTTGAGGTACTGGAATCATTATCATGACAGAAAAAGTTTGATTGTTGCTGCTATCACTTTAGGAGTTCTTTACAGTAGACGTAACTGGGGACCCAGCGAGGTTCTTTGGGGAACACCTTTACAAGAGATCATTTGCACTCACAGCACTTAAACATATGCCAAAGTTCCCTCATACACCCATGATATGGGCGTTATAACACACACCGAGCAGCAGTCAGTCAGTCACACTGAGTCCCAGTAGACTCAGTGTGACCCTGCGTTAGGACAGTCGGAATCAGAAGTTAAGACAGCTCTGCTCCAAAAGTCACATGGACATGTGCAGGATTCAAGCTTGAGCACTTAAAAGTCATATTGGATAAAGTGGAATATTTGGAAGCACAATCCAAGCAAAAAAACTTGATCTTTGCGGGAATCAAGGAGACAGCTGGAGAAAGCTGGATGGAAGCGGAGGGCAAAGTTAAGGAGATTCTTAAGAACAATCTGCAGATTCATCATGAAATTGAGATGGAGAGGGCTCACAGAGTCGGGAAACCCACCGATCGTGGCCCGAGGGCGGTATTGGTAACGTTGATGAATGAGAAAGACAAAACACACATATTGCAGCAGGCAAAGAAGCTCAAAGGATCTAACATCTATATAAATGAAGATTGTGTGTGTGACGGTTGAATTACTACTGGAAAAAAACTTAACTTGGAAAAAAGAAAAATGTTGTAATAAGCTGTATCTACAGAGCACCTGGTGCCAGCATAGAAAAGTTTAATGAGTGGATGGAAGAAAATTACTTGACAATAAGTCATAAATTAATGTTCATATGTGGTGACTTCAACATAGATTTGTTAAATCCTAACAAGCACACAGGAACTGAGGAGTTTATTAACACAATATATAGATGTAGTCTATATCCAAAAATTACAAAACCAAGTAGAGTAACAACTCAGCATGCAACATTAATAGATAATATATTTACCAATGTT